GGGGGGGGGGGACTAGATGATATAGGATATTATACTGGACCCGATTTAATGGATAAAGCGGATACATATTGGAAGATAAGCCCACTAAGACATCTAAGCCAAACTTGGGCCCAAAAGGTACACTCCCTCTATAAAAGGGGGCCAAGGTACCTCATATTCTCATCCTCTCCTCATTACATTACTACACTTTCTCTCTCTTGATCTGAGCACTGACTTAGGCATCGGAGGCCCGACGCCGGGGTCACCCCCGGCGTTGGGTTCTGCAGGTACGGAGGCCGGTTCGAGTTGAAGGAGCCTGGGTGAAACTTATTCACTTCAATATGGTGAACAATAATAAGTAAAATTGTTATTTTCTCTTACATCGAAGGATAAATTTATATGCAAAAATTAATTTTTTATAGTATAAATGTTTTAGTGAGATAATATATTAATTATTTTACAAGCTAGCCCACATGCTCATATTTAATGTTATGGCTAAAAAAAACGCGGGTTAAAAGATGTGGAAAAAAGCTTATAACCCTATTGTTTTTTAGATTTAACGTTGATTAAAAGAGGTAGAAAATAGATAATAACACTATTACTTTTTAGACTTAAACGGAAAAATCTATAAAAATAACTCATTTAATATATATGTTACGTACATCGCACGAGGTACATACTAGTAAGTAATAACTAATAGTTTCAATTTATAAATAAGTGAGTTGATAGTAATGTTTATGGAGAAATAGATAGTAACGATTCATTTTTTCTAAAGTAATTTTACTTAAAAAGTGAGTAATTTTTAAAGAAATGATATTTTGGAAAAAAATAGAAAAATACATGGATGAAATCATGAGAGTGAACGAATTATGGTCCGTTTGTATACCAAATATCTCAATTCATACTCAATTTATATTCAAATCTAACTCTAACTTTAATTCAATTCATTATCATCAACATTACCAATACAATTAAATAATATCAAGCAATCATTCTTTACACATAACATCTACTTTAATTTACTATTTATCTACTAATATAATTTTAACTAACTATTACTTCATATCGTATCTATTCTACTTTTACTTAATTATTTTATTTTAAATATTATTTAATATAAAAATTCCGCTAACAACTAACTATACCATTTTTTTAAAAAACAAGTTGACTCTGGTTAACCAAACTCATTGTAGACGGATATATTTGTATACAAGCACGCCCCTTAGTGAGAATATGAAAAAAACTATACAAAGAAAAAAAAAAAAAAAACAAATAGTACTTTCGGAAGATGGAGATCAATAGTACAAGTAGATATGATTATATTTGAGGCAGGATGTTAGGCAACAAGTTGGAAATCAATTTCACTCCATTTAAATGAATCGTTTGCATACTGTTAAAAATACAGTTATAAGGCTGCTCACCCATTACTTAAAAAAAAAAAAAAAAAAGATGATCACAATGTTCACCACTCGTACAAGATATTATAATTTGTTGTGAATATACAAGAAAATTTTATGAGATGAAAATTTGATGGAGAAAAAGGAAACATATTAGTAGTAATCATAAGCATTGTGTGAACAACATATATTGTGATTATGTAAATTGCTTTCTGTGATATTTAACACCGTAAAATTACCTTTCCAACCTCCAAATTGCAGCAATGCTACATGTCCTCATCATCTTCGTATTTAACCAGCCACGAATAACTAAATGAAAAAGGAAAGAGTTGGGAAGTGCTTTCTCTGTAGATATATACAGAGAATTAACACTATATAAATTGCATCCGAGAAGAGATTAGGCTTGTCTTGGGGTCAAACAGTTAAGTTTACATGATTGTATTACTGCAGACGCCTCGTTTATTCTTTTCAACTTCTCTTTGCAAGTCCTTGCTTTCCTTCTCACTTTGGATAGCTATAGCTGTCCTACGCCTTGGCAATATTCTAGCCTTTTAGCCTGCGGATAAATGCATTAGTGTGCATAACTCGGACAATTTACGAAGTAGAAATAGAACCATAATGTGCTATTTGCCATAAGGACATACATGACATGAACAGTCGCAATCCCTGTCCTAATTAATTCCTTCATATCGTAGAGACAAACATGAAAACACGATGTTGGATGTTAGGTAGAGACGAGTGATAGTTCTTTACTTTTGAAAAAGACCGTATCACATATGAATGGCGCCAAGTCCCTAGATTTTATATAACGAACTTGCAGTAAAAGGAACGGCAGAAAGATTCATAAATCACAAAGGAAATGACCAACGAGGATTGGCTAGAACTTCACCAAGCCGTGGATTCATGAAGACTCCAATAGACTCAAGAAATGACCAGATTAAACAAGGAAATGAAATTGTATGTCGAGGATCAGGGTTTAAAACAAACAACCGATAAAGAACCTGACCGAAATCAAATTTTTGACCAACCATCACTCAATAAATGACTTTGCTTTGCAGCTCAGTAACTGATTTGGAGTTCGATTGCAAGCGACAATTTTGTGCAACAAAGTTTTCAGTAAGACCACCTTTCTGGGCATCTATGAAGCACGGACACTCCTCCAGGACTGCAGTACCGGTGTCGGTGCAGTGTCGGACACGGACACGTCGGGGACACGCACGGACACGGCAATTTTATATGGACACGGCGGGATATGGCGAAGACACTCCGAGATACGGCGAAGACACTCCAACTCTTCATTGCCCTTAATTTTTTATTTTTTTTTTTATTTTTTTGGGGATAACAATCTTATTTATTGGTTATTTAATAGACTTTTAAACTTCTCTGACTCATATAATAATTACTTGAGATGCTTTTCTATTAACTTCACTTAACCCACACAACTCACAAGAAAAAGAACGTTCAGTCTTTTACTCTTCTTTTCTCTCTAAAGTCTTTTAACTTATGTTTACATTGGTTTTCAATATATTTATGAGACTTGGTATTATTTTAATGTTGAACTCTATTTTTATATGATTAATCTACTTCTATTTGAATAGAAAGTACTAATATTTACAATTAAAATGAAATTTTTACATATAAAAAATAAAATAAAAAATTATTTTTTATTGTCGTATCCCGCCGTACCCGTATCCTAGTTTTGTAGAAAATTGACGTATCCGTGTCCCGCCGTACCCGTGTCGCCGTACCCGTGTCCGTGTCTGTGCTTCTTAGCTGGGCATTTGTTCAATCGGCCATGAGAAGCACAAAATATATGGCAAAATTTCAAAATTGGTCCTATAACTTGGCCACTGTCCAAAAAACCACCCCTATATTGACCACTTTCAATTTAGGTCCTATAATTTGTCAATTTCATCAATTTTGGTCCTTTTTATCCGGACCCTGGATTAAAAAGTGACGTGGCATGACGTGTCATTTTTTTAAGGTTACATGGCGTGATTATGATCTACGTGGCACGTCAATTTTGGTCCTATAATTTGTCGATTTCATCAATTTTGGTCATTTTTTCATGCTACGTCACTTTTTAATCCAGGGTACGGATAAAAAAGGACCAAAATTGATGAAATCGACAAATTATAGGATCTAAATTGAAAGTGGTTAATATAGGGGTGATTTTTGGACAATGGTCAAATTATAAGACTAATTTTGAATTTTTGCCCAAAATATATATTGTTGATTATTGTCATAATATTTTTGGTCTACAATTATATTGGAGGAGAGAAAAACTGGCATTACTTTATAACGCAAATATAACAAATCATTTTTTTCTTTTCGGTACAAATGTAACAAATCATTTTAATTACGTAAAAGGTGGTCCAACAGTCAATTAATACATATACTATACTATACAGGATGAAAGTGAAATATCATATCATGCATGTGATCAGTGAGCGGTCGCAAATGGCAGGTGTGAAGCTTATCTCTTCCACCGAATAGTCTTTGCAGCCCATCATTTCCTAACAGCCCTCTTTTGTCTGCACTCGCTTTCTCATCATATCAACAGACAATGATCCAAATCTTATCATCAACTCTCTCTCTCTCTGTCTAATATATATATATATATATACATATATATAGATTGATCAGTATCATATATCATATACACAAAGTATGGCCAACAATCATAGCAAGTACTATAGTAGTGATGAGGAAGATGATGAATACCTGGCAGGACTGGTGAAATCAGCAAGTGCAGTGCTGCGCGGGGAGTCTGTTGACGAGAATCTCGTGAGCGTGCTGAGGCAAGCCGGGGCGGACGAGTGCTGGCACAAGCACGGCAGTTTCCTTGACCACCTCCTCGGCGTCCACCGCATCCTGACCATGTGGAACGCCCCTTCCCCAGTCCGCCTCTGCGGCCTCTTCCACTCCGCCTACTCCAACTCCTACGTCAACCTCGCCATCTTCCCTCCATCCAAGAACGGCCGTGAAATCGTGCTCTCCCACGTGGGCCCCGCCGCCGAGAGCCTCATCCACCTCTTCTGCGTCGTTCCTCGCCAGCACCTCATCCACGACCTCATCATGTCCCGCTACTCGGACGACGCCGAGCTCGTGCGCCACCTTAGCGGAATCGACGACAGCTGGCGGGCGAAGGTGCAGTCGGTGTGCCCCGCGGAAGGGGTGAAGGTGAAGCACATCCGGACGGGAGAAGACGTGGTGGTCCCCAGGAGGGTTGTGGCGGTTTTTCTACTGCTGACGATGGCTGACTTCAGCGACCAGCTGTTTGGTTTTCAGGACGTGCTGTTTGACAACGCGGACGGGCGGCTCGATTTCTCCGGGAATAATGCCGGGACGTGTCTCTGGCCGGGGGAGGGGAAGCCGGGCCTCTGGCTCAACTACGTGTCCAGGATGGGGGCCATATACAGGCTCATCGTCAGAGAAGAAGAGATGGCCACCGCCAATAATAGTACTTGTACTGATGATCTGCCAGATCTGGAGCTGGTTATTCCTCCGGTTTTCAACTGGTGCAAGGCTGTGGTGGAGTCGGGTGATCAGGTGAAGGCGAGAGATCTGTACTGGGAGGCGGTGTGCGGCGGGAGAGCAGGGCAGGTTGAGGAGGAGGAGAAGCTTTTGGAGAGTGTGGAGAAGAATCCGTTTGTGGGGGAGCCTCTGCTGGTATTGGGGCAGATGTATTTGGGGAAAGGGGATTTTGAAGCGGGGGAGAAGGCGGTGCGTAGAGGACTGAGGCTGATGCTGGAGTGGGGGAGCCCGTGGGATAAGAGGATGACGTGGCAGGGATGGGTTGCGTGGGGAAGGGTACTCCTCAACAAGGCTAAGGACAGGTCCTGGCCACAAAATGGTTGGGGTATCCTCAACCTCGGCCTCGTCACCTGATCAATGATTATATCAAACACTGCCTACTCCATCATCGATCCATTACCGTACTTGGCTTAATTATATATATTATTGTTTTGAATAATTACTATATAAGTATTGTATTTACCATCCTACCACCAAATAGTTTCTGAATCCCTAAGAGGGCGCTTGTTTATGGATTTTTTCAACCAAAATATTTCATTTTGTTAACTATAGTTAAAGTTGAAAAAGTAATGTGGTTAATTGTTAGTGGAATTTAAAAAATATATTAA